TAAATAAAATTGAAAATTTCCATTTTCCTTTATTTTAAAAAATGTTGAATAGAACCGCACGTAGGGTACTATTAAGGAGAACCACACGTAGGGTTCTCGTTTTTCCATTTTTCTTTATTTTAAAGAATGAAAATCATACGGGGTTGGATATAAATTTTCCATTTTTTATTATTGTAAAAACTATCAGAGAGAACCACCCTTCTCGCAAAATCTCAGTTTTAAATGTGAAATCGAAATCCTCAGGCGACCATTTAACTTTTTTCCTCTTGGGCAAAGGTTCAAAGGAGCAGTCCGTACACATTTTCTTGCAGCAAACACTTCTGAGGAAGAGAGGCCACATGACATCCAAGGTATGATGATTAACATCTGAATATGAAGATCCGATGCCTGCTACTTTATTCTAAACTAGCAATTTTCCTTTTTATCTGATTTTAGTTAATCGATAGTTTTTCCTTTTAACTTGTTCTCCAGGTTTAATTTGGCTCGTTCGATGATGTTCAAACTTTAGATCTGCCGACTTTAGGTCTGTATTTGGTCGATTATTTTTTTGTTGGGATAGTTATTGTTTACTGGCAATCAATTCTTGATGCAAAAATAAAACTAAAACTGATGTTCCGACTTTAGATCTGTATTTGGTCGATTATTTTTATGTCAGGATAGTTATTGTTTATTGGCAGTCAATTCTTGACACAAAAATAAAATTAAAACTGAGGTTTCGACTTTAGATCTGTATTTGGTCGATTATTTTTTTGTTGGGATAGCTATTGTTTACTGGCAGTCAATTCTTGGCACAAAAATAAAAATTAAAACTTTTGGCTTTCTTCTCCAATTTAATTTTTGGGTATTCTTCTACTGAATTTAGGAAATCATCTTCAGCTAATAATATGATAATTTCATTTATTTGAATTCTTTTGATTTTACACATTAATTTTGGAAGCTGGTAAATATTTTCATTCAACTTTATAATTACTGATTAATTTGCTTTTCATTCAACTGTTTTTTCAAAGGCACATTCTGGGAAGCTCACTTCCTCCCATTCAATCCAACAGACAAACAGTATATCTCTAACATACATAGACCCTTCTGGTAAAATGCATTGAGCAAATTGTAGTTTTTTCGTTTTGTTCCCCCTTCATTTTTTGAAAATTTTATGTAATGTTTATATTTAATCATTTGTGTAAATTGTTGCTATGTTTCTCCTTTTGATCATTTCTCCTTTTGTTGCTATTCCATCATTATGTTTAGTTAAAAGGTGCCTTATATTTAGACTATTTTTGGAAGTGCATTTTTGAAAGTCTAAAAGCAATTTTTGGTGATAAAAAATTATTTTATTTAAAGTACGATGTTGTTTGGGAGAGATTTTGAAAGTATAAATTGCACTTTATATGTGAACATGTTATGGAAGATTCATTGCGCATGTGTAAATCACAGGTAATAAATTATTAAAATTGGGCAGAAAGAAAATTTGCTACATACTTAGTGTGCCGTTCTTTTCTTCAAAGAATATTAGCATGAATGCCTTGTCTTTCAACTATATTAGTGATTCATTATTGTGAATCTTTGCAGGTGCTCCATTGACAGTTGCTAAGGAAACAGGAATATGACTCGGGATGGGCACAAATATGCACCCTTCTTCATCTTTGCTCAATAACCATAAGGATGATCTTTGCCCTTCGTTTTACTTAGCACTAAACTAAATAATTTATTAATGTTTTGGACATAGTAAGATTGCTTTAAATATTTTGATATCTTTTTTGTATTCCAAAATATATATACTCTAAAGTGCTAACAATGACTACTTGTATAATGATCACAACGATACGGAAGATGTCATTCTAGAGCTTAATTAAACTTTTCATCCTAATGGTTACCTCCATCATGCATAATTAGATTCATGAATAATTAAGACTTCAAAGTTCAGTTTTTGATGTCATTGTAAATATCAAGTGTCAGATTAAAATCTTCATGTCATTGTACATATAAAGATCTAGGACTGTCATTTATTTATTTGGAGACTATGAATTGCCGAATTCAACAAATTTAATATTTTTACTTATTATTTACTCTTTTGAAGCTATTTTTTTGACAATAAATTTGACCCCACAACTTTTGAAGATAAATTTAGTCGTACTTATGCCTTCAAAATTCGAAGTGTATTAATATGAACAATTTTTTCCATTTTTGAATAGGCTGTAATTTAATCTGTCTTTACACAATTTTTTCATTAATTGATAAATTGGAGCATGAAGGAACGGGAAATGCCGAATTGACAGTCATTTTGTAGAAGTTTGTGCAATGTTATTGTACATTCTTTGTCATTTAAAATGGATCATAAGTTTCATATTTTATTCTTTTGTTATTAATTCATTTCCAGGCGGTGAACTTGATGTAGTTTTTTATACCCGGCCTTTTACAGTTGGAGAAAATTTACATTTTAACATCTCAAATAGTCTTCTAAGCAAGCTCTTCAAAAGAACAAAGAAGGCTGCTATCAGAGGTTTTTGGGCAGAAAGCAAATTTGCTACATACTGTATTGTGATGTCCTTTTCTTTAAAGAATATTAGCATGAATGCCTTGTCTCTCAACTATGTTAGTAATTCATTATTGTGAATCTTTGCAGGTGCTCAATTGACAGTTGCTAAGGAAACAGGAAGACGACTCAGGATGGACACAAATATGTACCCTTCTTCATCTTTGCTCAAAAACCATAAGGATGATCTTTGCCCTTCGTCTTACTTAGCACTAAACTAAATAATCTATTAATGTTTTGGACATAGTAAGGTTGCTTTAAATATTTTGATATCTTTTTTGTATTCCAAAATATATACACTCTAAAGTGCTAACAATAACTACTTGTACAATGACCGCAACGATACGGAAGATGTCATTCTTGAGCTTTGTTAAACTTTTCATCCTAATGTTTACCTCCATGCATAATTAGATTCATGGATAATTAAGACTTCAAAGTTCAGTTTTTAATGTCATTGTAAATATCAAGCATCAAATTAAAATCTTCATGTCATTGTACGTATAAAGATCTAGGACTGTCACTTATTTATTTGGAGGCCATGAATTGCCGAATTCAACAAATTTAATATTTTTACTTATTATTTACTCTTTTGAAGCTATTTTTTTGGCATAAATTTGACCCCACAAGTTTTGAAGATAAATTCAGCCGTACTTAGGCATTCAAAATTTGAAGTGAGGATTATTAAAATGAACAATTTTTTTCCTTTTTTGAATAGGCTGTAATTTAATCTATCTTTACGCAATTTTTTCATTAATTGATAAATTGGAGCATGAACGAACGGGGAATGCCAATTTGACAGTCATTTTGTAGAAGTTTGTGCAATGTTGTTGTACATTCTTTGTCATTTATAATGGATCATAAGTTTCATATTTTATTCTTTTGTAATTCATTTCTAGGTGGTGAACATGATGTAGTTTTTTATACCGTCTTTTAAAGTGGGGAAAATTTACATTTTAACATCTCAAACTGGTCTTCTAAGCAAGCTCTTCAAAAGAACAGAGAAGCCAGCTGTCAGAGGTTTCATTTTATAGTTCTATTTAGTAGTAAATAACTGTGAAAAATGGCATGGGGTAAGATAAGGGCAAAGGTTCAAAGGAGCAGTCTGTACGCATTTTCTTGCAGCAGACCACATGATAAGGGCAAAGGTTCAAAGGAGCACTTCTGAGGAAGAGAGGCCACATGACATCCAAGGTATGATGATTAACATCTAAATATGAAGATCTGATGCCTACTACTTTATTCTAAACTAGCAACCTTCCTTTTTATATGCTTTTCATATTACTTAATCAATAGTCTTTCCTTTGAACTTGTTCTCCAGGATTAATTTGGCTCGTTTGATGAAGACAAAGTTAAGTTTTACAGTTATAACTAATTAAATTTCCTTTTTATTATGGCAATCTTTTTTGTACTGTTTGTGAGATTATGTGAGTCAGCTATGTTAAGGTTGCCTTCTTTCTCTTTGCGAGTCTCTTTTGTGAGTAAAGTGAAGTAATCGACTCTTTCTTCGATTCTCTTTGAGAGTGCCATCTTCACTATTTTTTTGTGGATTTTTTGGAGCATTGGCGAATGGAGTAACCTTTGTGGTCATCGAAAGGTGTTGATTTGTCATAGTGAGTTTGAGATGCATTAGTAGTGAGTTGGATGTCTTCTGGTAAGGTGGAGTATAGATGCCTAGGGGTACATGATGTTTTGTACCGGGAGATGTAGAGTGTAACATTTGGATCACGAGTGGAGACGTGATCAAATGTGTAGAATCATTTATCTGTGAAAGAGATCCTATACAGGTAGAGTGCGAGAGAGGCACTTCTATTATTTTTGTAAGGTGGAGTCCCATTATCCACGTAGGTTGGGAGAAGTGATGTGGTGATAGAGAATTATCCCGTGAATTTAGGATCTATTGTGATCTACTAGTTAGACATGAGTTGAGTAATCAGTCTAGTGAGCATAGTGGGCGATGAGAGGAGATATGTGTTCTCGAGGTGTGAGTAATATGGAATGGGATAAGGTAAGTGTGGTGAGATCTTTCGTGTGGTCACTTATGCATTTGTCGCATATGTGTTTGACCGTGTGCTGATTAACTTGGTGTTAATCTTTGGTCTTGTGTGAACGTGATTTTGAAAAGATCTCTGTGTCTGTTATCCTATGTATCTTTATCGCATGATTTTTTGTTCATTGTGAATACTTGTTCCTACTTGGGGGTTTTTTTTTTTGGATCTTAGCCCCGATGAGTATACGGAGCAGGTATGGTGTGTGTTTCGATTCGAAACACGAGGTAAGGTCTGAGATACCAATTTTATTGGATTACCTTGATTGTGCAAGTTTGAACTTTGTGTTTTTGTTGCTTGCAGATTATTATACATCAAGGTGGAGATTGTTGGGTTTTTTGATACCCAATAATTCCGGGCGATGATTTAAAACAGTTGTCGAATTATTTATCGACACATGGACTTGGCTCGACTCGGAGACGAACTACACTTTTGGATGGCTCGAGTTTGGGTTGAAGTATTATTTGGTTAGTTGGACCATTTAGTGATTAATATGGAGTTGCAAATTGGCCCATTAGTTATTATGTTTTACTTGGCCTATGTTGTGATGTCTAGACCCAATTGGAGTGACCTAACCTATGCAATATATATCCATCTCTTCTACAGCCATGAATGTATTGTGTGTGGTTGTGTGTGAGTTGAAGGAGAGAAGGCCGAGAGTGAGAGATGGCTGAGAGGTGAGGAGAAGCCGGTTTTGGAAAAAATATGGAGAGAGTTTTCACCATTGTTGCTTCTTCTTCTCCCGGTTACCACTACCATCCCTTCTCCTTCGTGAGGATTGAATCGGTGTTCGTTTGATTGTTTTCTGAGCTCGAAATCAAGATTTATCGAGGGATTTTCGCGATAGTCAGGACAACAAAAGTACTTTCATCTCTTATGTGAAATCCTTTTTATAATGTCTCCTTCAAAAATTTTGATGAAACAATCTTCATAGAGCCTAGTGCTGTCATCTTTTGTACTTGTGGACACCTTGTGTTCAATTTTTGTTATTTTTTCTCTCTATTAATAACTTCATTTTTGTATAAATATCTAATACTTAATAATTTGCCTGAAAAACTGTTTCGCGAGTTTGCTAATATGATTTTGTTGCTGCTAGGTGCACAATGACCCTTTAAAAGCTCCAGTTGATGGTCCAACTCAGTGGGTAAGTTCCACTTGACTGAGAAACTTATTTCAGTTCTTTGCATAATAAGCAGCTTTCTGTAGGACATTATGGAAGTGGTGGTCTTTGTTTTGGCTTTTACTGTTTATTTGTTTTATGTATCCTCTTCCACATGTGGAGGAACTGCTGGAAGAGCTCATAGAAATTGCTGTAAGTTTCTCTTCACCTGTTTCCGATATGTTCTGTCAATGGTATGATAATGATTAACGTTTTTCTTAAATAAGAAACTAGTGTCAAGAGGCCTAGGAAACATTTTCAAAAGCAACATGCAAAAAATTTAGAGATTCTCATGACAAATCCATTAACAAGTAAACCTCTGGATAATAAAACAATAAGCATTTCAAAATACTAGTACCAAACTTAGTTCATGATCGAGTGATGGCAGTTCTGCATCCACTGTTGGCCGAACTTAGTTCATGTGGCTCATCTCTATCCAGCCATTTGTAAGTGGTAAATTTGTTGTGAATGATAGCATGGGAAACTGTTAAATGTGTATAGTGTTTAAGATGTAGTTTCATCAGTGCATCAAGGTATATATCTACCAGCAGACGGCAGTCAGATATAAAGATGTTATCAATATGCAACCTCAGATTGTTATATCGATTCAGACGTTTTTAAAACAAAGAATAAGACGATATGGGGCTAAAATTAGAAATTTTTAGGTCTCGGGGCTAGTCTTCATCCTCAGTATTCTTGCTTAGTGAGAACTTGAATAGAGTACGACCCTTTATATAGTTTCTTGGCTACTTGTTTCTCTCTTGAGTTAATGCATTTGGTTGGATATGAGCCTCAGGTTTCATAAAAAGGTGCCACATAATCAAATTATTCCACCATGTTGCAATAATCTATTATGCAAGTCCACGCGCAAGAAAAGAACCCTTCTACTTGTTGCAATGTTTTTCTCTTAGTCACAATGTGCTATTTGATGCCATCATATTTGCTTTATCCTTTTATTTATGCATTTGTATTTGTAGAGGGTCAGCAAGGGGAAGCAACACTTTCAAATTGATCTCACTCCATTCAGTTTATGAGTATTCTGCAGCTTCTCATAGGTAAGATTCTAAAACTTGAGGTCCTGAACCAGACACGATTTTCTACAATTGATGTGTGTGTGCGTGTGCGTGTGTATGTGTTTTGATGAGGAATATGTGTGTTCAAATAACTAATCATATTACTTTGACAATAAGGTTTCTGAATTGCCCTTATTTGATCAACACACTAGCTTCTATGTAGTTGATAAGGGAAAGGCATACTTCTGCGAGTTTAGTGTCATTTTTTGCCCAGAGGATAGCTTGAATGAGTCTTTGAACGTGTATAAGTGTAAGTGCTAACACGAGAAGAAAACCCTAATTTACAATCTTGTTCTCTGTGTAGAATTTTATTGGAGGCTGGACAATTGGACAACTGTGGGGGCAGATCACGGTTGCTGGAATGAAAGAATAATGAAGGAGTTTGTAGAATCAATGAAAGGTACAATTTCTATCACAGTTTCTATCTAAACACAAAGCAAATTCTTGGTGGAAATTGAAATTTGTTTTTATTTTCGCTGCGCATGGTTAAGTAGATTCCAACAATAAGTACAATGGATGCATCTTTTATTAATTTTGGATTGGTTAATAACATCCATTTCTCAGTAAGAACGTAAATTTGACTATCCAAGAATCATAAAATAGCCTGTAAATTCAGTCGTCTGCAAGTCATTCTATATCCTATGAAGTTTCAAAACAGATCTGTATTTCTGTTATTTTCTTTGTTGCATGACTGGACATTTGTGTTTAGTTCCTCGCACTTTAGAACTTCCTTCCAAAAATTTCTAATTCTCGAGAGTGCATGGTGTATATGTACCATGTAATGCTATCTGGCTCTGGACATATTAGGAGTGATTTTAGAATTGATTTTTGGGATTTAATGAAGTTTTGTAAGTGATTTCTTTTATTTTCTATTTATGTCTGGTTAAAGAATCAGTTGTCATTTAGGGCCTGTTTGATTGGCCATGAATTTCATGGAATTTCCATTTTCCATCTTTATCATTGTTTGATGGCACGTATTTACCATGGAATTGGTATTCCAAGTTCCTCCCCTCCCCCACGCGCTAGTTTTCCTTCTTTCTCTGGAATTTCAATTCTTATGGGTTTGGTAAGAATTAAAATTTCAGGAAATTTTTTATTTTTTATTTATTTATTATTATTTTAAGTAACGGGAACAAATTCTATGTCTAATTATAAAAAAATATTTTCTTTAATCGACAATTTTCATGTAAAACAAAACCAAACGTATACCAAAAGATAGATGATTTTTTTGATTTTTTTTGGCAATGAAAACAAATTTTATCCTCAATACCAGTAAATTTTATTCCTTTAATTAACAATTTTCAAGTAAAATAAAATCAAACGAACACTAAAAAACACTTTTATTTCAATATTTTTCACATGAAAAATTATACACATCAAGTACAATAATTTACAATTCCCAGAAAAATAATTTCTAAATAATTCAATTAACTAGAATTCGTTTTCTTTTCACCAAAATTCCATCTTTACAATCAAATGGACCCTTAGTTATTGAATGAATAGTAGGTTTTTCAAATTTAGGAATATCAATGGGTTGAGCCGACTCCGTAACCTCACGAGCTTGGCTCGCGCTCGTGGAGAGCTGAGCTCGTGGGCCGAGTGGAGCTTTGGCTCTCGAGCTCATCAATTTGTTTTTTAAATTTTTTTACTTTTAATACAGAAAAACACAAATAGTTTAATGAAGAAACTTTTTAAAAAAATAAAAAGTGTTAAAAAAACACAAATAATTTAATGCATTTTAAAAATAATAATTTAACGAAGACAATTTATTTTATTTTATTTTTATCATATTGTAATACTTTTTATAAAATATAAAATATTTTTGTAATGAAGACGAATTGTTTTTTGTAATACATTTACAAAAAATACATTTTTTTCGATTTCTTTTTAAAGTAGATAAATATAAACCCTCCTCCTTTATCCAAACTTGGGACCGACTACATCAATTTTAAGTAGGGGAGTTAAAAAATGTACACGAACAACTTGTTATAACGTGTACAATTTTTTAAAGAAAATTAAATTTAACGATTAAAAAATAAGAAAATTTTGATTAATATAATTAAATTAAATATTACTTATGTGACAACATGCAATTTCAGCGTATTTATCTAATAGTCGAAAATGAATGTCCTGTCAATCCTTCATGTACATTAACGCTTCCAAAACATCTTCTTTCTATCGACTTCTGACATCGGTCAAAACCCTTTTATCTACATTAAAAGTAGACTTCAAAGCGTGCTAACCGGATGTGTCAGGAAATCTTTCGTAATTGCAGAAACAATTGACCAACATCTTTCGTACTTTCGCCATAATTCAATTACTAATTCTGAACTTTTTTTAATTGTTCTGCCTGTTAGCATATTATGATTGAAGTAATCAATTAATTCAACAGGCATCGCATTTTGAGTTGCGGCCGATATTTGATGAGATGCAAGTACAGACGATATGGCACTAGAACACATTACAGTTGCGTCATATCTAAATGTATTAATGCCTTGAAATAAATTCATTATTTTGGCATAATCTTCTTCAATTCAATCGAAGGAGTAGGTGCAGAGGGTACCCGACTAACATTCGCATCCATTCGTTTCACATATAAATCATACATTCCATATAATGTTTACTCTAAATTCTATAGGTGATAAGTGTATCAAGTGTTAATGCTTTATTGATTTGATCAATTACATATTTAGTTTCTGAAATATTATATCAGGGGTCCATTGCGCATGTTAAAGGAAATAATATAGGCAGTTCTTCCCAATATTTTCTAAATTTTAATTCCTTAGCAATTATAATTTAACTGAAATCATGATCATTTTTATATTTATGGAATGTACTTTCAATTATATAGAGGTGTTCAAGCACTATATATCTAGTGGGATAATAAGCGCTCGATAAAATCTCTGTGGTCTCATAAAAAATGTCAAAAATCGTTTAACTTTTAAAACTAAAACCCAATCGGATTTATTCAACATACCATCATCATCGCTTTTAACGTGTCTATTGTTATAAAAGTCAGTTATTAAATATTTGAAACCTTCACATGACTTTAATAGCAAATAAGTAGAGTTTCATCTATGGCCTACGTCGCTAACAAATGTTTTAGCAGTCGTCACCCCTAGTTCGGCATAAAAATTTTCAAATGCTTGTTTTTTACTATGAGAGATCGTAATATATACTAATGCGTTCCTAATCCTTTGAAGTCCATCATTTATATGTTTTAAACAATCTTACACAATTAAATTCAAAATATGGCACACACAAATACCCACCGAAATCAGGTTGAAGTACCCTTACAATTTATCGACGACTACCTTATTAACACTAGTATTATCGAAAGTAAAAGATCGAATTTTACTTTATCAAATCTATCTATTTTCTGTTCAATTTTTTGGTAATCAGTATTAGGAAGAATGATACCATGAAAGGGCAATCACTCATTCTTAAAACCAGCGTTCTTAAGACCAAAGAGTCGGGCGGAAAGGGGGGAAAGCTCTCCGTTCTTGGTTCTCCTGTAGCTGGAACCTCACCTTGACACCAAAGAAGAGTTCGACCCAATGCTTTATTTCTGCCCTCGTTGATCCTGATTCGACATTAGAAGCATCAAAAGTTGAATGATTCGATCAATTGGTATGAATTTTGGAAAGATGCAATTTTTTCAGTCAGTATAGCTTATTTCGGAATATTTATAGCGTCCTTTTTACCATAGAACCCTGTTCAATAAGTGGAATGCATTAGCTTTCTGTTCTCAAGTTGGGCAGCAAGGGTCGGAGAAGGGCAATCACTCATTCTTAAAACCAGCGTTCTTCAGAAGTAGAAAAAGGAAAAAATATAGTGATAATTTGATTCTTCGTCGCCGTAGTAAATAGGCGAGAAAATAGAATTTCTTTCTTCGTCTTTACAACAAAAAAAAAATAGGAGGATAATAATATCATTTTAGTTATGGGCGAACGACGGGAATTGAACCCGCGCATGGTGGATGAGAACCAAGTCCTAGTAGCCCCGCTAAATGGTGATTCAACATAGATTCTATATCTTGAAACCAAGCCAATTTTGGGGCCGCTTTCTGATAATGAAACCAACCAGCAAAAAGCATTAACGCTGCAAAGACAATAACTCCCCCCCGAACACAGCTTACAACTTTCATCGTATTGTGCTCTCCAAAGAACAACTCTTCTCAAAATCTCACTCAAAAGGTGCTGAGTTGGAATCCCATTCTAACTAAGGAATAAATATCTTCATATACCAAACGCTCACTAATGAGTACTGCATCTTCAGAATTATAACCTTCCCATGGCATATAAGCTACTAATACGTTTTTCCCAAAAATTCGTTTATTTGCCTCAAGCTTTCGAGGGGCTTATTCAAGGCTTACTCGAACTATTACTCAACAGAAAATAATAGCTTTGGTTTCGGCTCTCCGTTTCTGGTTCTCCTATAGCTGGAACCTCCAGAACCACAAGAATCCTTAGTTAGAAAGGGATTCCAACTCAGCACCATCCCCTCCCTTCTTCCACTCTGTCTCGAAGAGTAACTAGGACCATTTAATCACGTTTGACCTGATCAATTCGATCAGGCACTCGCCATCTATTTTCATTGTTCAAATCTTTGACCACACGAAAAATAATTGTTCAACTCTTTGACAACATGAAAAAACCAAAGCGATTGCAGATATATATGCTCTTTTATTAACCACTTCCCATATATCAGAAGTTAAAGATATAGCACTCCCATATTGTTAAAAATCCATAATTAATTGTTGTTTCGAATCATTGAAATATTGTATCGTATCGGCACGAAGAGTGTTTCGACTTACCCTAACATACCTTGGTTGCAGATATTCTTTCACGAACGAGACAAAGTGTTGCTTGTCGGCAATAGTCAGAGGCAACTCAGTGGCAACAACAAATTTCACCATTCTAATTCAAGTATTGTCCTCCGAATACACCCATGTGGATAGGGGTGAAGTTGTAAAATCGGCGTTTGGACTTCCAAATTGTAATTGTGTTTGACCAGTTTGAAGAAGTCCATGTCTAGCTGCACATGCTTTGTAGTGGTGGTTGAGATGGTTTGTACCAATTCCTTTTTGCCATGTCAGTCTTTGTTGACACTATTTACATACTGCCTTATATTTTGCGAGGCCATCGATGACGACTTTTCCTGTTGAAATCAACTTAAAGTGATCCCAACATTTTGTTTGTTTTTTGCCCTTTCGCTTTCCCTCGAATTTGGGATGTTTAATTCGGTATCTTCGTCCTCATATTCTGTTTCGGGAATGTTAATATAATCCAAATCGATTGGATTATGACTTCTATGACCGTGAATGTGAACATTTTCAGGTATGAGTACGTCATTTAAATCGACAAATTCATTTGAAAATTGACTTTGCGACGTCCTAGGCGATTCGCCATGTGGCACACATCCCATATCGAACAAACTCTCAACAAATGAGTGTTAATCCATTTGTTTGATTGTTTGTGATGAAATTCAAATATAATAACTAGTAAAGATATAAATATAGTGAGAACTGAGAATTTGATGAATTAAAATTGTAATTGAATAAACTGTAAAAAATGAATTGATATTGAATATTTTGCACAACAGCACAAGAGAGTAAAAACTCGATAATTGATATAAAAGAGAGTTGAGAAGTGAGAATGAAGTTTTGATATGAAAAAAAAATTGGGGGTTATGGGGTATTTATAATAAAAGAAAAAAATGAAAAAATAAAAAAAAAGTTCAGCGACCCAAACGGTCACTGAAAAAGGTAACCAAAACGGTCATTTTATTTTGAAAAATAATCGTTTTGGTCACTGTTTGGACGAGCCGCTCGTGGGGCTTGCACCTCCATCGAGGCCCGCTCGGCTCGCACTCGAGCTCTTGATTTTACGATCCCGAGTCACCCCAAGCCCTATTTCGATGGTCGCTCGACCCGTTTGACATCCTTATTTAAATTTCACTTTTAAATTATGTTGGATCAATGATTTGTGATTCTTGTTATTGATTATTTATCCTTTTCGTGCACAGTTTCAACGAGGAAGATAGATATTTCAGGGGGTTAAAATATAGGAACTTGTATGCCTTCGTTTTAACTGTAGAATTGTGTTTTTGGTGGTATGCATGTCATAGACGCCTGGGTATCAAAAAGAGAATGTGCTAGAAATTGGGTTAATTTTACTCATGGCCATTGAAATTTACACTTAGCGTAGCTTAAGCCATTGAAATTTAATTTGTTTTTGACTCATCATTGAATTTTACAAAATATTTCATTGGAACCTCCAACTAATTTGGCCCATGTTTGGTTATACTTAAAATCTAATTTTAATCTAAATCAAAATCAAACAATCAATATTAACCACATTTTTCATGGATTCCACAACTTTTCAACCACACATTTCAAAAACTTCTATCATAATTTACAAAAAATCTAAGTTTAATTCCCACCCAACGTCTTCTTGATGTTCATATTTCAACTGAACATTCTATTTATTTGTGTGTCTAGCCATGAGATTTGGTAGAAAATCTTAAATGGTTTGATGGGAACACGAATATGTAGAATTTTCGATTAAAAAGTAGACATCAATTTGACTTTGTAGTAAGATCGAAATGTCTCTTGAAGTTAGTAATGAGTCTGAAAAAAATTAAAGCTCAATGACCAATTTGACAAAAAAATGTGAACTTCAATGGCCATTGGTAATGGTTAAATTAACCCCCTAGAAATTTGTCTGAGGAAGAAGGGTTCTCGAGAGAATATACTCCGACAAATTTTATATGTTGAAAGTGAAAGAACCACCTTTCTTCCTACAAATCGTAATTGATATAAGAAACAAGGGCAGATTTGTCCTGAGATTGGATGTGAAGATCATTTACAAATAAATTATGAAATCAATAAAAAATTTGCTGGTAAGATGAGAAATAAGGCAATTATTCTGAAAGTAATTTTACTTAAAAAGGTATACGGCCAAGAAAGAGGGATTTATGTCGCATGGCTAATATTATAGTTCAACTAAATATCTAAAGCATACAAGTAGTTCATGAGTTAATTGCACGTCGACGATTCAAATCTATTTCTATTAGCACGTAAAATTAAGTACTCTGTTTAAGTATGAATAGATCTATTACACGGTATCATGTTTGCTGTCGAAATTGAGATTATGAATATCAGTAAAGTCTTTCAATTACATGATTCGATCATCTTTCCCATTATTTAGAAAAGTGAGCAACCAATTCAAGTGTAAGATACTATCATTATCGTCTGATTAATTAGACATTCAACCCATAATCGTAATTTCTAGTTAATGTGGGGGTAATTAGAGAATTTTATAGGGAGTTTTTGGGTATATGAGAAGATGTTTGTTTTGAAGCATTTATAGGAAATTGTTGCGTGATTTATATTAAGATAATATACTTAAGTAAGTTGGTAATAAAAATTATCTAACAATAAATTTAAGTCATATCACTACTAGCGTTAGAGATTTATTTTGAAATATTATATTTTAGTATGTTTCGTAATAAAAAGTTCACTAGTATTAGTTGTAAGCTCAAAAGGCCATTTTATTCCTAATCTGGTCCATGATAAAGGACAAAAGCCACACAAAACTCAAGAACACACTTTCACTTCCAAAATAAAAATCAAATTCAAAATCATCACTCTTCTGTATCCAAACATTGAACAAGAAGAAAAAAAATCTATGGCCTATATTCTGCCAAATCTTTCTCCAATTCTGCTCCTATCTAAAGAAAAATCCCAGGCCATTGTTTTTCACCAACAATCGCTTTCTCTTCCTCTTACCTCTCCATCCTCAGTATCAAGTTCTTCTGTAAATGCTCAGACAAAGCTTGAGCCGCCTCCACCTCGGGGTCTAGCACAGGTGAACCGGACCCCAAGTGGTCAGGGTAAGAACCAGGACCAGAAGGATGAATTTTTTGTTAACCTAGGTTTAGCTGTACGGACCCTTCGCGAAGACCTTCCTTTAATCTTCACCAAAGACCTTAATTATTACATTTACAGGTACCCTTTTGGTTATTTTATTCATTTATGCTTATGGGTATTTATATTTGTGTAGTTTTCGATTTGTCAGAATTTGAGTGTGTGAGATTGAGATAAAGTGTTTATCTAATTAATTGGCAGGGATGATATAACGTTTGTGGACCCTTTGAATACGTTTACTGGAATTGAAAGTTACAAATTGATATTCTGGGCATTGAGATTTCATGGTAGAATTTTATTTAGAGAGATTTCATTAGACGTGCTTAGAATTTGGCAGCCATCTGAGAATATGATCCTCATCAGATGGAACTTGAAGGGCGTCCCTCGGATACCTTGGGAGGCAAAGGGACAGTTTCAAGGCACATCACGATATAAATTGGATAGAAATGGGAAAATTTACGAGCACAAGGTTGATAATCTGGCATTTAATTTCCCACAGCCATTGAAACCTGCAGCTTCAGTTTTGGATATGGTTGCTGCTTGTCCAGCTAGTCCAAATCCAACATTTCTATGGGGTCCTGTGGACGTGCATTCTTCGTCTTGGGTGGAATTTTATAGGGCTGTAAAGGAGACGTTGGATCGCCAAGGATCGTTGATTGCTCAAGATTGTTTAGCTACTTGTTCATAGTTAGACAGGTTAGCTACTCATGGTTTTTTTATATACAATAGAGGATACCTTACTAGAATTATAAATGTTAGTTATATGTTTATTGATGACTTTTGAAAGTATAAATAAAGTTTGGATGAAAAATACGGGTGTATATAGGTAGATATAATGACCCTACAGAGTTTGTCATACATTTGTATTACTGTGAAAGAGAATACAGGTGCGCGTTTTACCTAATGAAGTGTCTGTGCATTATAAACAATGTGGCATTGACCCTATTTTCACATAGGACTGAATAACATTACTCCTTCATTTTGTGCTAGTCGAATCTAAACCCCAGTCTTGATGTCTTAAATGTTACCCTTCTTAGTAGATGACAGAATAATATAATATTAAGATTTTAACTTCTTTTAGTCTTATTATAATTTTAATATCGTTGAATCCACCATCCTAGGCATATAACAAATGTTCAGACGTTTATCATCTATTGCATTTGTTCAAAGGAAAGGAATTCTTATTCTTCGATTTTCAACTTCCAAATGTAATATGGTGGTGTAATATGCATTGCTTTGTGATATTCAAGATTTGGTGTTTATATAGTAGATCTCTTTACAATGGTACTCCCTATGTAAGAATAATCTTCATGTAATCATAAAAAAAAAGTTTGATCCCAACAGGAGTTAGTTACCATGCATTGTAATAAATTTGTAATTTTTCTAGTTCCTGCCTTAAGGAACTTGCTTTCATAGAGCAATAATTATCGATATACCGTAAAAAATACGTGCAGTGTTACATTAACGGTTAAGATATAATAAGTTATTTATCTAGAACAAAAATTATATATTATGTTATATTAAAAGTTTAAGATGACTATACATATTTTCAACAATACATCAATACATATGATAATTTTTTAAAATTGTGTCAATCTCTTTTATGATTTTATCATCTTAATTAATTATTACTATAGTTCATATTTTACCTCTATACTACTAACATTAAAAGTACTAATTTTAAACAATAATTTTTGTAACTACACCTCTATAGTTGTTATAATGTTCTCATAATCATAAATTTAATTTAATTCCAACATTGTCCGGATAAGTTTAGCAAAAACTCTAAACATTTGAAACATTAACAGACTTACCATAAACATTTGATTTATTTTGAATTGCAGGTGAGATCATTTTGAATTGTTTCTATTCACAATTCCATCAGTTGATCAGAAATTTAACTTTGATCACATTTTTAATATTTTAAGAAGTGGCAAAAAAGTAACTTCCTATTTATCACATTAAATAATTATATTTATTAATTTAAAAAATTAAAAATAAGAAAAAACAAAACAATCCTCTTCATTCTCTCACTCCCTACGCCCACCTCAAATCCTCAGCCACGCGAAAATGCAGAGCACAATAATTGCATTCCCCCCTTCTAAATTTCTCTCTCTACCAAATCTCAAAAGGCCACCTCTGTACAGATTCAATCCCATTTCTCGCAGCCCGTCGAAATAGTGCTGTTTCAAGAATGGTCGGGTCGGGCTCAATTTGGCTCATACTTCTTTGAGTCCTAAAGCGGGTTCAATTATCTGTTCTTTGAGACCTAATGGGTGGATTTCGAACCCAAAAGAGCGGAATTCTTTCGTTCTGATTGATAATGGCATAATCATCAATTGCGAATCTTGAAGCAAACTCAAATCTATCGCCAAAAAAGAGAAGAAAACTCGAGGTAGAAACTCAGACTCAAATTCATTCTAAGGAGATGAGATGAAAGAGGAGGCGGAGCAACAGATCTACTTATCGAAGCTTGTAAATGCCATCTACAACCTTCGCGCGCCTTTTTTTCCACACAGCATTCGGGTAACTCTACTGAAGGCCGAACTTGGTGGAGCAGGGCAATTCTCACCAGTCAACTCAATCTGTGACTCGCTTTGGTCAACAGGATTTATCTGTTCTTTGAGACCCAATGGATGCTTCTTTGAGAACGGCTTCGGTTTGCCTAGAGTTTGGATCTTCTCATGGTAGAATGCGGTGGAGGTTGCCTGGTGGCAATTGTGATGGGATGGATGGTGGTGAAGGGTGGATGTGGTGGCGATGGAGGTTGGGTGGCTGTGGGTTTGAGGTGGGGATGGGGTGAGAGGAAGAAAATGATTCTTTTGTTTTTTCTTATTTTTTAATTTAATGAATATAATCATTTAATATGTTAAATAGAAATTTACTCTTTTACCCCCTATTAAAATACTAAAACTATGGTCAAAATTAAATTTCTGATCAATTGATGAAATTTTGGATGACATGTATCGTTTGAAAATGTTAGGAGTAACGATTACAACAAATAAAAAGTTTAAAAAAAGTCTACTAGGCAATTTTGCATTTTCTTTCCAACTACTCGTGTGTTTAGTGCTCTAGCCTTGTGTGACAATATTAGAACGCACAGTTCAAAATTAGCTTCTAAAAATTACTTTTTATAAAATTTATTATCAAAATATTCATCAATCCAGTCTTTATATTTTGTTTCATCGTAGTAAAATATAAACACGTACCAATTTTATTTTGTTTATTAGAAAAAGTAATTGCCAGCAACAATATTTTTTCAGCATTCAATGAAAAATTCACCTTCAAAGTTTGTTAAATATAACCACTATTTGATGGCTATTATTTTGTAAAAATGATATTTCTAATATTGAACTTTTTGAAAAGTATGAATAAAAATGAGAATTTTTTTTTTGAATTTATATGTAAAATATTTTATTAAATAAATGTATGATTAAAAATAAATATAAAAAATAACTTATCTTATTATAGAGGAAGTCAAATAGGAGCATAATAGCATTTGACCTTTCATTAATAATAGTTTTATTTTTCTGATATTTTACTTGAACAAATTTTTTTTAAAAATAATACCCATGCCCCTAAATGAGCCGACTCATTGACCTCACCTCACAAGCTCAGCTTATAAAAATTAAGCCCCATTTGTTTTTCATTATTTTCTCATTAAAATGAAAAATATAACTGTTATTCATTATATCAAACCATCAAATTTAAATTTTTATCTCTTATATGAGACTCGTGACGACTATATTTTTCATTCTCAATTTTACATTAATATTTATCAAATGGGACCTTAATCTCAACTCAACTTGATGCATGACCCAGATCAAAATGAGCTCAAGTTGTCCACAACACAAATCCGGATGAGCCCAATCTAGCCCATGAGCAACTCAACCCATTTATTACTCTCAATAAAAATTGATAGCATATATGATGAAAAGGTTAATATCATTTTATTGAAATTATTATTTATGTTGACTTAATGTTGGTAGAGATTTTAATAATTGATTTTTTGATCGTTAAAAATAAAATGACCCTACCATTGAAAAACGAATTCAAAAATGACGACTCAAATAATAAAATATCAATCAAAAAATTAATTTTAATTGACTTAAAATCATTCCTAAATAAGCTCTTAACTATTTAGCTAATTCAAATCGGAACAGAGAACAAAGCATTTTTTTTTTTCCAATTTCACCATTTGGCTTCATATTTCAATCTCGAAATACCAAAAAATAATAACAATTTCAGAATATCATTTTAAATTTTAAATTAAATTCCACCCCATCTCAAATTCATCATCTTCAATACCAAAATGTGGGCACATCTGAATGCACAAGCTCAATAAAAGAAGCAAATGCCAGAATCTCAGAACCTAATTGTTATCGGCAACGTACAGCGCTGAAAACACCATTAAAAATGTAGTGCATCAGTGACTCTAATTTGTTGCCTTAATTGATGACAAACAAATACACCGAGAAAATTAACAAAAAAAAAGGAACAAAAATTCAACGAAGGCTCAGAGATTAATGAATTTAGCATCAACAAGCTCAAGAGCTTTCATAGTTTGATGGTATAATTTTCATCATCACTGCCTTTTTCAGAACAATACCAAATATTAAAATAAAATAAAAATTGAAGCGAGAGACCTCAGAAAATACAGGCGAATTCACATCAAAGGAGACTTAGTAAAGATCCTCAGATGGTACGGACAATTTTTATGCATCATTGGCCTCAATATATTGATTTTCGATAAGAACATGCTACTATATGTTTAGATGCGTGATCGTGTGGCTCTGTGTAATCGATTCCGTGTACCAACCCTAATTTAGCCACAATACAGAGGGCAGGTAAATTGAAGATTGAAGATACACAGGATATATATATATATAGTGGAGCACACGGAAAACCCTAATTTAGCCATGCCATTTTATTTACCAAAATGTCCTCACACTTTGCTGGCGGCTGCCATTCGCGCAATCTGCAGTGGCATTGTCATATATACAAGGGTAAACTTTCACGTCAAAAATTTGAAAATAATAAAAAATATATAAGTTTTGATCCATTTAAATGTTCATCTTTTAGAATGGAACTACAACATAAAAATGTCCAGATTCAAGAGAAATATATGCTCCCATTTGGTAGCAATTTTTCGCTCAAAAAAATTAACTTTTTTGACTTTATTTCACTATTCTAACTGTCATTTTTTACTTCTTCACTCATAGGTGTGACTTACTTTTCTCTCTAACGGTAAAAAAATCAATTCTCATAACCGAAAATGTCCATATTGCGTTAAGACGATAAAGGAGATTGACATATTTTTAGTCGCTTACAAATTGTCCTCCATCCGATGGAAAAATGATAATGCTCTTTTAATTTTTCATAAATATGTTTTATACGTTGGATAAAACAAGATAACAAACAAACCTCCCTTTCTACATCATCTCTACCAAACATATCGTCCAACAATTATTGTAAAATAATAAATATGTTTTATACGTTGGATAAAACAAGATAACAAACAAACCTCCCTTTCTACATCATCTCTACCAAACATATCGTCCAACAATTATTGTAAAATATAATTCAAGGTAAAACATTATGTCGCACTCTCTTTTATGAATACGTGTTCAAGTCAAGCCTCAATGCAACTCACTTCTATAAATCTTGTGGCATGAGGTAACAAATCACGCCCTATTGAATCGATTATTTGGTTTTATGATTGTGTTCAGGCCGATGAATTGACTCAAAGTCTGTGTGCACGAAAGCTCGCTCAACTTCGGGTAACTTTTCCAACTTTTCTTGTAGTGTCTCGCCAATGTTGTGTGCTTTAGCGAGAGGCATATCTCCTGGCAAAACTATGTCAATCTCCACGAAGTATTGAGAACCAAAAGTGTATGCTCTAACTGTGGCAATGTGTCTTATTTCTTTGTGATGATTCCAAACTAGATAAATGAGCTTTGTTATATAATTTGCCGGTGCTGTTCTTCCAATCAATGACTTGACATTTTCCATCACTGTTCTAGCCCATGTCCCCATTGTGTATAAGGCAATCTGCAATCAAACTCAAAAAACTTAGATGATTTACAAGATGAAACAAGATGAATTAAGCTACTCAAACATGAGCAGTTGACAGGGTTAGGTGATGGGTGCTCTGGCTGCTTTTTTTATTTTTTCCTAACTATCAAATGGAAAAATGACACGTGTTCCCCTATTAAAAATTCTATCATTAAACCTGTTCATGTAGCAATGTTGATAACAAGATATGCCAGGTTGGATGATGGGGGTGACATAATCCAATTCAGTGAGAACTTTTTGACACATAGGACGAGCTTACCAGTATGGCTCCAAGAGGATCGATCCACCAATAAAATCGAATGGCTAACACCGCTGTTGCTAAACCAATAGAGTTAGTAATAACATCAAAGAAATGATCCTGCGCATAAGCTCTAACAATTTCATTCTTGAACTGCCGGCAGTAAACCATGAGGACAAACTTCACTACCGTGACTGAAACCATGATCCCTATCATCCATTTCTCTTTTTCTGGATCTCGTTCAGGTTGAGACTGCATAAATTTAGTCATGTTCAAGGGGATTTAGTTGTGAAAAACTGAAAATTATGTGAAATATGGATTCATGTCATATAAATGGTTTTCGACAGAATGTAGCAGAATCAAAATTGGTATACCTTTATAATGAGTTCTCGACCAGATTCGAATAATATTTGTAGTCCAAGGGTTGCCATTACAGATGCAAAAATAACTATGCCCTGCAAAATCCAGCATAACTCGAATTGATATTCTTTCTGGATACGATTCACCAGTAAAGAACTTATAGTGAAAATTCGCCAAGGTCCATATACTATTCTCGTCTCAACTGTTAATCCCTAACGATATGCTGATGTGGAAGTCATCGTGAAAGATTGGGAGCGAGTGTTAAAATGCTTACCACTGGTTGCATTCGATTCTTGCCAATTGGATATCTATACCGGTTAGGTTTCTTCATAGCATAAGCCGTAAACCACAATATAAATCCAGATAACAGGTCCAAAAGTGAGTCCAATGTGGATGCAATGACTGCCAATGACCTGCTCTCTACAGAAGCATAAACTTTGGCTATAAAAAGCACGAGATTAGCTATGTTTGATGCATATATTGCCATCCTTTCGTTTCTAGCAACCTGTTTCATCTCATCCTGCAACAAAATGTAAAAAAGTTGTTGAGAATTGAGCAAAATGTAAAGCCATATTTGAGTGATTTGTTGGCAATCACAAACCTCTGTGAGACTTCCAGGCAAGCAGCCCAATTCAGTAAATGCATCAACCTCATTGAAATCTTGAAGAAGCCTTTCCTGCGCCTTGTAATATTTTGCAATTTTCCTCTGCTTTGCTGCAGTGAAAAAGGGGGACTCATTACTCATTACAGGTGTGAAAATGTATTAAGCCACCAAAGTATAGACTGGTCCGACATGTAAATATGTACATAATGACATGTCATAAACAGGGACGGACCCAGGATTATGGTTCGTTGGGGGTGAGACAGAAAATGGGCTAAGTTAAATTGTGAGAGAAACCAAAAAAATCTGAAATTTTAAATTTAAAAAACCCAACTGAAGGTATCTGGCTGCACCCACGGGCCCTTAAGGGGGTCCGCCCCTAGTCATAGATTACCGCAGAAAACTCTATTCTTAATTCTTAAGTATGACGGTAACAAAGTAACTAGTTGTTTGCTAAAAACTAAAAACTCAGAAGGCTTACTTATGGTGTGCAGAAATTTCCCAATGCTAATGTGCGAATCACTAGTCTTTTCCGACAGACGATGTTCATCGAAATTAATGCGCCATGATGGCCCTCTTGTTAAGGTCCCATTCTCTGCTGCTGGTGAAAGAAGTTCTATTCTGTAATCTGATGAATCTGTGCGCAACTCTGTTGCCATTTTGCTCCAACAAAATGCTGACACTTTCTATCCTTCTTAGACAAGACACATACATATATAGAGAAAGAGGAGATGATCATCTAAAGAAAGAAAGCATGGAAAATGCTGATCGTTGAATTATTAAGGACGTTAGGTAGATTGTAAATTAAGAAATTAATGTATGGAGACTTGGACAAAAGTCGCAAAGAGCTGACCTTATTTGTATAATATTTGATTTGATTAAACTCAAGCTTATATAGTAGGGAAAGAATCTGATATAGGGAACCTTTTACAGATATCGCCCAATCCACACAAACTTTCGAAGCAACATTCTCCATGCGTTTATATCACAATGTTTGTTAGGGAAAAAAATGTTTATAAATATTTTTTAATTAAGGGTTGTTCACTACTTGGCACTATGATATGCACTTGAATGAGGATGGTTTCGATTTTTTCCTAAATAAAATAAAGTGAAAATTACACACATCCATATGTTTTAAGATGCAACTTAAAAAATCAGATTCAAAGTATGTTTATTAAAAAATCATATTATAATTAAACATTTTAATATTAATAATAATATTATAAAAATAATTTAATTTACATACCTACTCTACCTCCATCCACCAAACCCTAATTATTTTCCTCCCTTCCTCCTCTCTCTAGTCTCTACATCTCTCTTCTTTTTCTTTCATCGCCCTAAACCACAATTGGCGGCGATGCCGTGCATGCCATCATTGTGTGACCGCAGTAAGACACCGCCGACGCAACAAGGTGCGAATAGGATCCAACCCATTTTTTGAACACTTACCCCGTTTGTTGTTGCCTCAAAACACAAACACAAAACATAGAAGTAGAGGTGGGCGCGGGTCGGTTCGATTCTAAAGAGAACTGAACCAAACCAAAATTTTCGGTTATCTAGTGAATGGAATTGTCGGGTCCAAATATAATTATGGAACCGTTCGGGTTCGATTCCGTACTATAATTAAATTTTTTAATATTTATGACAACATTATATAAATACAACTAACGACACATTCAATGGTTTTGGAATGTCAGAGACTAGTAGACTACTTTGTTCAAATGATCACTATGGTCAAAGCTTTGGTCGGCGGAGGTCACAGCTTCGATTGGAGGTCACAGCGTCGACCGGTGATTGTATATGTTTTGGAATGTCAACGAGACTATGAGAGTGAGTGCGATAGTCGAGACAGCATTGTGCACTTTAGTGTAGGTGTTTAGAGCTATTTAGTGGGTTGAATCTTGTTGGGCTAAGAAATGAAACAATAAAATGGGTAATTGGGCCAAAAATTAAAAAATAAGAAATGAAACAAATTATTGGGCCAACAATTTGGATTTAAAATTTGTTCATTTGTTTAAAAAAATTAAAATTAAAATAATTTGATTTATTCAATATAAAAAAAATAGAAAGATTCGGTTCTTATTCGATTCTTGGTCTAGAACTGAGAACGAAATCGTACCCGTCAGTTCTCAATTTAGATACTCATTCGGATATTTAATTTGACAAGAACCGTCGGGTTTATTTCGGTTCAGTCAGTTCGGTTTGGGAAATATGCCCAGCCCTACATAGAAGTGAGGGGTAGCGTCATCTTGCATTTGATGATCTGAGAGCGACGACGTCAACTCCAGCATCATGACACAACAACTTGGGGTGGTTTCATGCTGCCGTGGTTTTCAGAAACGGTGAGGTCATCTCCAGCCTGATTAGATCTGCTTTGTGGTGATTTTCTTGTTGCCTCGTACTGGTGATGAGGTGGGGGTGATGGTGGTGAATTTGCTTGGGGCGGTGATGGTGGTGGTGCTACGGGTAATAGTGGTGGTAATTTTGGATATGATTTTTGTTGTATTTGGGTGTTGGTTGTCGCGATTTTGGCTGTAGTGGTGAGGTTTTGTTGATGTTGGCAACTAGGTGAGCTGGTGGTTATGTTGGTGGTGGTCATGCGATGGTTGTGTGTGAGATGGAGTTGGAGAGGTGTTTGTGACCAATTATTTGGTAGATTAGCGTGACGATGTGGTGGTGGTTTTATACGATGTGTTGATTTGTTTGAGAATTGAGGTGGTGATTGGTCACAAATTATTTGATTGATTGTGATCATTAAATTGATTAATATGTAACCAATGAAAAAGATAAATTATGACTAAAAAATAATATGCGACTTGAAAAATTGTTATTTGTGATTGATAATTTGTGACTATATAATAAGTTGTGATTTATAATATTTTTGATTTGTGACCCATAAATAAATGGTGACTTATAAATTTTTAATATTTGATCAATGAAAAAGTTGTGACATATAAAATTTTTGAATTGTGATCGTAAAATAATTTATAATACATAAAAATATTGATTGGTGACCGAAAATAATAAATTTGTGACCAAATTATATAGATATGTAACCTTACTATAATTAATTAATAAAACATATCCTTAATTAATTAGATCATAAATAAATTTTAATAAATGTCTGATTTTTAAAATTTGAAACCTTTGTTCATAGTTTTGAAATGGGTGATACTTATCCTCTTAGTTTTGAATTTTACCTAAAATAAAAAAACAAATAATAAATTTTGGTCCATAGTCTCCTTCTCAATCCGGCTCATATGAGTACGGGACTAGACAGGTCAGAAAAATCTGGTGGACTTGGTTGTGCCTTGGTCAAAAAAGAATTTGGGCCGATTTTCAGAGCTCTTTGCTAATTGTTGTGCCCGACTACCACCGCTAACCTTACTAGGGTATTTTTTTTAAGGGGCAACAAAAAACCCCTAAAATCAGGACTCTTTTGAAAAATCAAATGAAAAGTGTGTTGTAAGTAAAAAATATTATCTAAAGTTAAATGAGACTTTTTAATTAAAAAGTGATGTACAATGTCATTTTCTCTAACATAAAAATTTAATTTACATTTAACACAATACAAAATAAATTAACATCTAATTTTTTTTTCTTATAATCAAATAGAAAGCTTAGCCAAAGATGTAACACTCTATTAGAGTTTAGTTGTGTGTGACATTTTAATTAAAAATTTGTGTTATCTAGCCAATTTCTATGTTAGCCAAATAAGCCCTTTGAACACTTTTCGGGCACTTCACTCGATTGATCACTGATAGCGAGTATTCCAATCCCAGTACCAGTAGCAGTGCAACAGAACGTTAGCATGGTCATATCTTATCAATGAATTCATTAAGTACTTGATTGAAAAAATAAAACAGCATAATTGAGAAGGGTAAATCACCTTCCACGTTTAATTCTCTAGTATTACTCAAATAAATCCTTCACCATTGATGCTATCAAAAATCGTACCTGCAGATTTCTCGAGCTCGATGATTCGAGTTGATCACGATCGTAGTCTTTCGGTACCTGAAACAAAGGCAACGAGGTGTGTTCTCGTCGCCCCTCCAATGCTTAAGTTAGAAAGGGAACTATATGCGTGAGGCTATATGCTAGAGAATAATGAAAAACGTACCTGAATAATGGCCCAAGGTTCTGCTTTTATAGGGGTAGGTAGTGCACTCCTAGTAGGATTGTGCTGGTTGGATGTTTTTATCCAAGGGAATTCTATTTATAAAGAGTGCCCTACTTGTAATGGAATTGTTTGACAAGTGGTATAAGGGTTGATACAGAATCCTTGGGTGTTTAGGTTTGTTTGTTAGATACCTAGGTCTTAAAAGGTATGTTGGTGGTGTATGTCCCGAGGACTATTCCCGAGGACTTGAGAGGATGTTAATAAGTGCACGAGATACCTCGAGGACCAAAATATCTCGAGGTCTCCGGGAGATCCCAAGGACCATGGCAGAAAGGTGAGCTGGGGCATATATGGAGTCCTCGGGATGAACTCCTCGGGGTGTATCAATATTGGCAACGTCACTGGCCCCCATGCACTCCTCCTAGAGATCGAGCTCTTAGGATGGGGTGCACATGAGTTATGTCATTTCTCGAATCGTCGTCGAGAAGATGTGGCTGACGATAGAGGTCGAGATATGACCGTTGTAGAGAATGGCTTGGATTTGTGACACGTGTCTTCGTGGACGGCCGTAGATAGCGACCTTTGGCCTCCCATCGTTTTCACCTATAAATACTGCTGTTCTCACCTTTATTTTTCACTTTTACCTACTGTAAATCTGAGTTCTGCGAGGTCGTACTCGAGAGAAACACTTTGGGAACTTCTCAAGTAGTCGAGAACTCTAGGTAAGGCTCGAGACTTTAAGTTATTCCATAAGCTAGGTCTTAAGTTTGCTAAGTGATGTCGAGTAGTGAGGGTCGAGATTCTTCTAGTGGTTCTAGTAGTAGTGAGGACATAGGGACGTCGATAATACCGACGGCTATTCCCCTAGAGGCTACTCCCGAGGCTCAGGTTAATATGGTCTTTGAGTATCCCGACGAAACCTGTAGGCTTAAAGAGCACACAGCCATAGCTGCAGCTAGGGAATATGGTATTATGCCTAATTGCGATGTTAGATTTCCTGGCCCTGAGGATAGAATTGTTCGAGCTCGACGAGGGGAGTTTGTTATTTTTAGGGAGACCCTTAAGGCTGGCTTTAGGTGGCCCCTTTACCCCTTTTTCATTGCTCTATTAGTCGAGCACTCCATGTGCCCGGGGCAGTTAGTGCCCAACGTCTGGAGAATGCTCGTATATTTTTTCATAGCATGTAGATACTTAGGTATTGAGCCCAACATTGGTCTAAGTAAATTAGTGTTCGAGCTTAAGAAGCATCCTCGATACACTTGTTTTGGCTATCTCTCGACGATTGGGGGTTTTAAAGTCCCGAGGATGGCGAGCTCTTTGAAGGGGTGGTTTTATGTTGTAGCCCAAGAACCCGACCTTCTTTTCTGGCCTGATTGGGGAATCCCCGACGCCGAGAAGTTCTGTGAGGGCCAGGTGTATCCGGATGTTTTGGAAGAGCATAGGAGGATGTTGGTGGGGCTTAGTTCCCTATTCTCGACGATGAAGGAGATTGGGGAAGAGGTTATAGACCTGGCAGATATTAGAGGCGTCGAGAGTAGGGATGTTCCTTTATTATTTTTTGAAAAATAGCTTGACCTTGTGCTCGTTCTGAAATGTTTGTAAATTTTTTGCAGGCATGTCTTTTGATCCTCAGGCTCTCCGGAACTTTGTCAGCACAAGGACTGACGCTCATCCACAGGGGCAGCCCCCGAAGAGGAAAAGCAAGAAGAGGCCTCGAGGAACTCCTGAGGGTGTGAGGGGGCCTAGCGAAACATCTCGAGCACATCCTCAAGTCTCGACCCCTCTGCAGCCGAACCTCAGATCTCCCACTCCTCGGGTCGTAACTCCTCGGCCTCCTTTTGAAGTGGTTGACCTTGAGGATGACCCGACACTTACCAGGGACTTTGAGACTTGCCACCTCGCTCCTGATCTCGTGAACAAATACAAGGAGGAGGTGAAGCTCGAGGATGGGATGAAGGTCCTCGAGAGTCTTACAGTGAAGGTAATCTTCAGACTTTCGAATTTAGCCTCAGGTTTTGTCGTCGAGATTAATACATAACACTTTCTCCATTTTTTCCAGATGTTGAGTGTAGCTCGAGGGCTTTCTCTGCAAGGGCTTGAGGAGGCCAAGAGGGCAGCTGGAGTAGAGACGTCCATGGCCTCCAAGGACAGTAAGATTCAAGACCTCGAGGCTCAGGTCGAGGTTCTATTGAGGGAGCGTGATGATGCGAGAATGGAGGCTGCCAAGGCCAGGGACGACCTTGTCACAGCAAAGGATGAGGTCGAGGGTGCGAGGCTCGAGCTTATCCAGAAGACAGAGAATTTTGAGCGCGAGCTCGCGGCTGTCAGGGAGAGGGCCTGGGAGGAGTTCAAAACCTCCGAGGATTGTGACAAGATAAAAGGGGAGTACGCGTCGGGGGCGTACTTCCATGCTTTGAAAGAAGCCCGGGCCTTCCTCCGTCAGAAATTGCCCGACGTCGCTCCGGCTGACCTAAAGACAGTGCCTTCCATTGCTGATACTTTGGAGCTCTCGGGTTCGGAAGATGGAGGAGGATTGGGCGGAGATGAAGAGGACGGTCTTGAGGACGATGTTGAGATTGACATCAGCAACCTTGACCCTCCTCTTGGCCATATTGGATGACTTCCCCCACCTCGATCTTTTGTAATTTTTGTTTAAACTTTGAACATGTATTTTGATCGATGACTATGTATGTTCTGAAGTTAATTTATTGCATTTGAACTATTTATCCCGACCCCTTGGACTTCATACATTCGAGCAAACAAACTGGAAATTAACTTCTCATGCGACATTGAAGAGTTTACTCGAGGATTCCACAACTCGAGCATATTACCTTAAAGGATTAAGATAATCTCGAGCACAACTAACTTAAAAGGTAGCGATGTGATATTCTCGAGGACTCTAAACCCCGAGCACAACTAGCTTAAAAAGTTGCGATGTGATATTCTTGAGGACTGTAAATCTCGAGCACAACTAACTTGAAAAGTTGGGATGTGATATTCTCGAGGACTGTAAACCTCGAGCACAACTAACTTAAAAAAGTTGTGATGTGATATTCTCGAGGACTGTAAACCTCGAGCACAACTAACTTAAAAAGTTGTTATGTGCTCATGTGATATCCTCGAGGGATTGTCAAAAATGATGTAGGATTTTTATACGTCTCCGGGTATTACTATAACGGCTTACACTTGAGCATATATCAAGGCTTTTTTGAGTACCTGCGCGGGGCAAGGCTTTTAGTTCATACTCAGGGAAAGGCAATAATGCTTGCGCGGGGCAAGGATTTTAGTACTTGCTTGGGGCAAGGCTTTTGGTGCTTGCTCGGGGCAAGGCTTTTTTGAGTGCTTGCACGGGGCAAGGCTTTGGTGCTTGCTCGGGGCAAAACTCTTGATGCTTGCTCAGGGCAAGACTTTTTTGAGTGCTTGCGTGAGGCAAGGCTTTGGTGCTTGCTCAGGGCAAGGCTTTTTTGAGTGCTTGCGCG